ACATGGTTGACCGCTTCAAGCTTATTCATCGGTCTCCCATTGGGCATTTGCCAACCTGATGCTTCGATGAAGCACTTGTTGACTCTCCGACTAGAGAGGGCCAACCTATATTGCTTTCTAGTTATGCATCCATTGCAGAATATTTCATCAGCATGAAGCCCAAACGATTCTGTGATTTTGGAGAGAGATAATCCCAATGGAGCAGCACAACAAATTTGGATTTATTTAGGCTACTCCTTTAGATGGGCTACCAGTGATTCTTGAGGTGATTAACTTTCACCACTTTAGCTCTCTTCTGTCATTTGATCATCTTGATGCAGCTTCCATGACTTGAGCATTTCTCCTACGTCTTGGTACAAGATCTCGTTTATACATCCCACATATAAATGCTTCTATTGGCATTTGCATATCTAAGGTTGTCCTAGATTCGACATTCTATTCTTTTTTCGAGTTGGAGATTCAAACATATAACCGAACTGTTAGAGGACCAAGACGATCGAGGTATTCCTCAGTGCCTAGAGATTAGATTTCTATATGTGGGGAATCATCAAGCGCTCGTGATACAACAAGGAAGCGAAGTCCTGGATTGCTTTATGGACATGGTGATGCGGACATCCAACCGTCCATGCTTATCCGAGGAGCTGAAGATCGACGGCCGAGATCACTTTATTTCATTTCAGTTTATTAATTGTATTTTTATTTAATTTTTGCAATTTCCCTTTTTACCCTCTTGTCTTATGTAAGCCCAAGGGGCAAATGTGTCTTTTAATTTCTTTTGAGGCCTATATATAGAGGCCCCTTCTCTTGTATTTGGATGATGAATTATTGATAATGAAAATTTTATGTTCTTGTTGATCTCTTAGTGAGTTCATGGTGATCTCTTAGTGAGTTCACTCTCCTCGATCTCTTAGTGAGTTCGTAGGAAAAACTAGATCTCTTTGTGAGTTCTAGGTTTCTTGTATTTCGTTTCCTTTTAGTTCTCTTTGATCTATTTGTTGTTGTGGAGATCGAGTCTTGAAGATTAACAAGGTGGTGGAATCAAAGCAACGAAAATCCTCAGATTTTCTCCTCTTCCCCTCCCCTCACCTTGCTGTCGCCGACCCCTTGGAACCATCCAGACCACCGGCTTACAAGGTCCAACCCGCCGGCCTGCAAGGCTCCTCCCGCCGGTCAATCCTCCACCAGCAGCTGTTGGCCAGCTCCAGCCCGCCGGTCCCCTCCCACCTTGCCGCCGCCTCCTTCTCCCCCTCTTCTTTTGAATTTCAAATATGAAATTTAGGAGTTTCATTAGCCATTAAATGTTTCCTAAATTGCCTCCTTAATTCAAGCAATCAAAATAAATTGAAATTGAATTTCGAATTTGAAATTCAAATTCAATCCAATTGATTGTTTTAATTTAGGAATCTTCCTTCCTTATTAAATCTGAAATTTTAATTTCAGATTTTGTAAAATCTGAAATTAAATTGGTGGTCCCCACTCTCTCAAAACTCATCCCCTCTCTCCTCCTCATGTGGCCGGCCCCTTAATGGCCTCCCCTCCCTCTCCTAATCACATTAATGACTCCACAAAATCAGCCCAACTTTCTACCAATTGAATGAGCAATAATCCTCCTCTTTAATTTGGGAATTCAAAATTGGATTTCACTTAATTTTCCCTCCAAAATCACTTAATCTGAAATTTAATTTCAGATTTCCATTCTCTCCCCAAATTCATTTGGGATTTAATTAATCTTTCCACCTAGGCAAGTAAATGGCGTTTCCGTTTCACATCACATGGTGGTCCTGGTATGCAATTTACACATACTAGTATTATTACTTTTTTTATTCTTTTTTTTTTTCCTTCTTACCTCCCTTTCTTTTTTTACATCTCCTTTTTCATATGTATAATAATATGTAGAGGCTACAGCCTCTTTACATCATTATGAAAGTAAATTGATCTCTCCCTCTTTTGATAGAGAGCATCCCAGAAGTAGGGTATCATATGAGATGCCAAGTTACATCAATTTCCTACCTTAATTAGTGCATGTTGATTTGGTTTTATTTATCCAAATTCTTATAATATGTTTTTTTTTTTATTCAAAGCCCATACATATTCTTGTCGACTTTCCGAGCTCATCAGCTTTGGAGCCGATCAGCCTAAATATTTCTCAGACCCTCTCAGGCTTGCATGAACTCTCTCCTGATGTTGAAGGTACTAGTGCATATCATATTTCATCATCATTCATTTTTTTATTGAGTTGAATGTTGTGCAACTATAATCCCTCTTATTCAAGTAGCAAATCCTATCCTGAGTTACAGCGTGGGGATTCTAAACCTGTGTTATCAGATAATGATCACTCTCCGAGCAAAGTGTTAAGTATTCGCAGGTGTAATTTTTTTATGACTATTTTCCCTCATAATGCTTTGCTCTTTTCTTCAATATGTACATATTTGGATGCAATACCCAAGTTAGCATTTAATGACTCAGCACCAGTACTATCTAGCGATGATGATGACTTGGGTGTAGAAAGCAACTTGGCTGTTGAGCATATATTTGTTATTGCTACCCCTCTTGCGATGTTGGGGGTAAATATTTTATTTGTCTATTCATTTTTTTTCCGCTTTTTACCCTCCCTTATATATATATATATATATATAAAGAGAGAGAGAGAGATGAACGATCATCTCCACAGCTTGCCCATAGTGGCTCTACACATATATTATCTGAAAGTGATGAGGATGATATTGTTGCAGACTCAACCGATTATTGCTTCTCCCAGCACTTTCCTTTCAGGGTTTGAATTGGGTAATGTTAGGTGGTTCAGAGTCGTCTACACCAGATGTTACTTCTCATCTAAAAGACCACCATATTGAGGATTTGTCAAAGTTTGAATCAGAGATCCGTACCTCAGGTATTTGTTGTTTTCGTTTTATATACTTGCATTGTTATACTCCTTTTTATGTGATAATGCTTTTTTTTATTAAGTTTAGAGCTATCATGTTTAGTATCAAGAATAAATTCCAGATCCTGTAGGTCTTTTAATCAATAGTTGTCGAGTAGTCTGTTGTATTGTTACTGCATTACAAACTTATTACTGGGGATGGATCTTGGTGACTTGTCTGGATTATCCAATGATCAAGCATTTCTCATTAGCAAAATCATGTTTCTAACCTAAGCCCCAAATACTTCACAAGGTCACACTGAGTTTGATCTTAACATCTTGATTACCCACATGAATGGTACAAGAAGAACAACAAGGAATTGTAGAAAATACCTAATGCTTTCTAACAAATCTTTCTAGTATGGAAATCTCTAAATCCAGCCCTGGGAAAAACTATTATGTGCAGATGAATCTTTAATACCAAATACAAAAGCATAAGATTAAACTTATTTTAAAATGTCCTATTCAAATATAAAGTTTAATTATCAAGAAATTTTTACACAAGTTGCTAAGATTAATTCATTCAGAGTTATAATCTCTCCGGCCTAGACTAGACTCTACAGAACTAGCCTCTTCAGTACTTAAGTCAAAAACTCCAATAAAAAAAAAGTATAAATCTTTATATTATCTAAAGCAATCACTAAGAGCATAGTTTAATAGATTCACTATTATGATTAAAAGGAATAAATACACTCATGAGCATGTTGGTCGCACTTTGATTGTCAAGGAATCATCATCATGTAAAATTAAGATCATCACTTTCTATGTTGATAATATTATCTTAGTTAGTGACAACCAAACTACAATTATCATTATTAAAGGCCTTGACCATCAACATAGGATAAAAAATGTCTAGATTTAAAGACACTTCATAAAAGAAAAAATTGATCAAGAGATTATAAAAGTTACAAAACCTCAAATTGTTGATATCCTTACCTAGGCCCTTAATCAAATGCAATTTAATAACCTCAATTCCAAGTTACGAATGATCAATATATTCTCAATTTGAGGGGGGGAGTGTGAAAATTCTAGGCAAAGTCAAGGGAGTGGACAAACGTCTTGCACAAGATTGGAAGAAATTATAATTACTAGAAATCAGAAACCAAATTTGAAAGAAAATAATGGGTCGGACAGCAGACAAAGAGGAGTAATAACAACAGCAAGAAACCAGAAACAATAAAGGAATTCTGCATCTAGGCGGACAAAACATCTACAACAACTTTGGCCCCTTGTATACTGATCCTACTGCCTTCCTTGACTGCATGCTGATAGTTCCACCGCCAGTCCAAGCAAGGAGAATCTGTCACACAACTCTATTTTCTAGTTATTTTAAAGAGAAAAATATTATGTAAATTATTGTGTTCATTATTTTCCTTTTCCTCTCTCATTACCGATTTTCATCCTTCCTCATGGATTCTGGTATCAACTATATAACCAGCACTTGTAATTCTCTTTAGAATAACAAAAATCAGTCTTTTCTCATATATTTTCAACAGTTAATTCCTGCACTATGCATGCATGGGACAAACATTCTTCTTAATCTCCATTCAACCACAATAAACCCATAACCACAAACCATCACTGTGATTATGATTAAGACTTAACATCTAATGTACAAAATCTCTAGAGTAAAATTTAAAGCCATTGTTTGGGCAAAAGAACATTTAACCATTGGAAAAGCAAACTTATCAGATGCCTGGATCGTAAGTTAGAAACGCTACTCTGCTGGGCAGCACTTTTATGGGGTGCGGAAAAAACAGTTAAGGGTACTATGAAGAAGAAAAAGAAAACAACAAAAACAAGCGTTAATTTGCCTAATGTTTCCCAGTATTAATGGTAGCAATTTTAAAAGATCCTCCAGTATTAAGGTTAGTATCATCCATAAAAAACCACTTGCTTGCTAAAAATTAGTATTTATAGATTTTGAAGAATGCCTACAAAAGATTATTGGAAATATTTAGAAGTTCTTCATAAGCTTGTAATTAAAGCAGACAATGGATTACTTCATATAGGAAATCAAGTAAATCGAGAAAAAATAAAAATAACCGCAACTACATTAAGTGTTAGAATTGAAGTATACCTGTTGTCTCATACTAGAAAATTCAGGATGACTAGCAGAAATAACTGTTTTAAACATTCGGGGAGGTACACCATCCTGCTTCTAAATGGAAAGACCAAAAAAATATAAGTTACAAGAATGAAATGATAGGGACAAACAGCTATGTTTGAAACAAAATGCTTCATAATCTCTTCATGGCTCTATGAAAGGAAAGAAAATGAAGAAGTTGTTCTTTTATTATCTCCATCTTGTCATTTTATTTGGGTCTTTTTTTCCTCGCATTTTTTTTTTCAAGATGGGGTTTGGGGGCAAAGTAAATTAATCATAAATCTTAACATGGTAAGACATGCGTAATGTTTTGTAATTGTGAAGCATTCAAAGTCACTGAATCATCCGCTGATTTCCATTTAGCAAAATCTATTTAACAACTGATGGAAACGTGAATTTTATACTCAAAGTCCCTTGATGGGTAGGTTGACCATAATAATCAAGAAGATGAAGATCTTCAAAGCTTACTAGATTTCAATGCCACTCTACCTTTATTTGACTTGGTATAATTTCATGCTTTTAGAAGTTTCAAATTTGTTAATATTTTACATTTTTTTCTCCTTGCATTAGGACAAATCATTAATCTATATAATAGTATCTTATGGACTCCTAATAATTTTCCAAACTTGACTAAGTTTGGAAAAGGCCTATAAATATTGCATTAAATTTTTAGATTCATTGAATAAAATTCATTCTGCATGTGTAAATTTAATGTAGAAAGATTTGGTGGCTACTCTAATCTTTCATGATCTTTCATTAAGCTTGGTAGCTGATCTATGTAAGACTTAGGTAAGTTCTTAGATCTCATTTTCCATGATTCTATTTCCCGACACAAGTCACATCATCTCTACATAAGGCTCGGCCAACCCAAATCATAGTCTCCCTCAATCTCAATACAAATACAACCTCTTCAAAACTCTCATACGCATTCCCCCACAACCACCTACTACACATTTCCCCATAACCATTATAACTTCCCAAGGCCTTAAAACTTAGCAAAATACCCAATACAAAGAGATAATTTTTTTGTTGTAAATAACCGAATTAAAAATATCACAACTCATCAAACAATAACAACAACATCAAGCCTTTATCCCACTACGTGTGGTCAGCTAAATGAATCATTTTTCTCCATTGTGTCATATTAAAAGTCAAATTCTTGTTTAAATCTAATAAAGAAAGGTCATTCCTAATATTTTCTAACCAAGTCTTTTTAGGTCTACCCCTACCTTTCTTAACATAAGTCAGATCTAATACCTATACTCTCCTAACCGGGTTATCGGAAGGCCGCCGTTTTATGTGACCAAACCATCTAAGGTGACTTTCTCTAATCTTATCTTCTACTGGAGCTACTCCAACCTTGTCACGTATATGCTTATTTCGTATCCTATCTCTAAGGGTAAAGCCACTCATCCACCTGAGCATCCTCATCTCTGCCACACTTAACTTAATATTAAGCCTCTCTTTTAAAGGCCAACATTGGTTAAATGATTGATAAAATTAGTGTTGAAAAATTATGAAGAAAATAGAGATATAGTTGTTCAAAAAAAACTTTAGCATAGAGTGTGTTTAACATCTCATGCAACAACTGATATTATTATTAAAAAACAAGGATTATACGAACGATTGGAAAACCAGAATTCATAAATTGGCCGTGAATTGTTGGGACAAGATTAATAAAGATGGTTGGGATAAGTTGAGTGAGGGATTTCCTTGTAGTGACTAGTCTTATTGTTAGCATTGGGATTTATGGTTGAAAACCAATCATGTATGCAATGTTAGATTAACTTGATTGTTCTCTGATCTTAACTTTTATGCACGTGATTCGGCCTAAGCTTGTTTTACCGCTCTTAGTGTTTTATTGCGTCGTTTAAATTCAACATTAAGATATAATTCTTTGTTCTAGAAATATTACGTGTGCAAATTCCTTAAAACAATTCATCCATGCAATTATGTTTTACATCATTATCATTCCATTCTATTTAAAGAATAAAACCAAAATTACTGCCAAAAAAAAAGGAATACAACTAGAATTATAATTACTAAAAACCCCTCCTAAATTTAATTCCCTCTTAATTTAGGAGTCCTAAACCACTCCCTCCTCTTTAATTTTGTATTCAAGTAATGGGCCCTACAAGGGGGGCAAGCAGCTGTTCGGTCCTCTTGGAGTAACCAGGGGCCGGCCCTGATGTTGGACCGATCTAACAGAAATCTACCCAAGAAGTCCTTAACAATTTTTTTGTAATAACCTATAAAAGATCGATATTAATATCAGTTCAACTACCCTAATCCTTGTTTAAAATTGCACAATGTGAGGCACACCTCAACGCAAATCTATTGCAAAACGCATTAGGTACACCCCTTATATGCTTGTGCTTATAGACGTACGCCTCAATCTAGTTGAGGCTCGCCTCACCTCACAGGCGTGAGGCATACACCTGATGTGACCTTTTTTTAAATAATGAATATATAAAAATAACTAGTTTTTAACCTAATCTAATTAAACATCAGCACCTTAACACAAACCCTTCACACACAGATAGTAAATCCCATCCTCGACATCTAGCCGTGAGTTCCTTATCGCCAGCCCGCTGCTGCAACCACCAGTTATCGCCTAGGGATAGTCACCACCGCCACCATCATCTTCTCGTTCTTCTATTACATATATATTTTAAGTTATTTTGATATTGTAATGTTTGGATTTTAATTTTATTTCACGCAATTTATCATTTGCCACCTTACGTCTGCTACAACTTTTTGTTTCATATTTTATCAAATTGTTATTTCATAGTTCAATAAAAAGTTAATATGTCATCTTTTAATATATTATTTGATTATTATTTAAGAAAAATCATTTTTACCCTTCATTTTTATTTACCACAAATTTTATATTTTAAGGATTACGACTCAAAACACATAAAGGCTTATGTCTCACCTCAGATGAAAAATGCCTCAATACCCAATTGCGCAAATTTTAAACCTGGCCCCAAATTAAATACGTTAATTGCTACCAAAATTTCTTTCTACAGCTTCAAACAGCCTATGTTTCTAACAGTTGTGTTGCAAACTTCAAATAAACAATTTAAGTATTGAGAACCTCCGACCATGTTTAATCCAACCATTGAGGAAACAACCTTAGAACTTGGTTCAACTGGAAGATACTGTTCCTTATTATCATTTAGCAAATTTGAAATAGTCAAATTCGATATTTAGAACAGTAGCCACGACAATGTCTCGTCCAAAAGATGCTAACAGTGTTTAAAGAAAATACACAAAAAAAAAAGACTTTCTAGTGCTTTCACATGATAATTTTAGCAATTTAAACTCATAATTGGATTTTAGAACCATAAAAGAGGGTTATAGAGAAGAAAAAGTTACATCAAAAACATAGACAAAGTAAAACATAAAGCATTCTTCAAATACCTCTGAAGTTGGTAAGGAATATTTCCCAGACAACAAACCATGACCCAGCTTAGTCCTGTTAAATAATCCTATCACATCAACAACAAGCAATACGAGAACAATGACACAAACAACAGATAATATTAAAACAATTACGTTAGATTATTAGCATCACAATCAAACTCTATTTGCATAAAATAGTCAAAAGAATGCCAGCGTACCTCACTCCTTCAGCATGCTAATTACCAAAAAAAGGCTAGTTTATGCCAATGATTAGTTTGATATCAAAACTACTTAAGCTAGTATGACGATACCAGACAATAAAAAATTAAGCACCAAAACGTAGATAATTGATAAAAACTAAAAATAAAAAACTCAGAAAGATTGAGCAGGACAATTCGAAGAATTAGCTGATAAATAGTGGTGAAGAATGTATTTTATACTTTCGGAAACAACCTATAATTCAGTAAGGTTTGCCAAAACTATTCTAACATACACCAAATATGATTCTAGACCATCATCTCTCGAGAATCCTCAGCCACAATTCTAGCTATACTTCTGAAAACTAAACAGACAAACACTTTTAAAATATATTAAAATCTATAATTCAATATTGCCCAATAGATAAAGGAATAACACTAAAGCATCACATATAAAGATAATATTAAAAAGAGTACCCATTTGCTCAGAAAAAAGTCATTATATTATTCACTTACAACTGCATATTCAAGTCCAAGGTTGGGTCAGCAAGAGCCAGAATAAAAGCTGATTTCAGATTTTGCTCTTTATAGTATCTGATAAATCCAACATGAAATGGCAAAATAAATTAGTACGTAGGACTTTTTTTGGTTAAGCTTATGTTTGTAGACTTTTTCAATCAAAAAGTTTATAAAGGCTATTTTACTAGCAAAAACCTGACTATCAGGAAAATCAAATTTTTCCAAAACAAATGGTGGTAAACTGATGACCGGCTCAGCCGGTCCAGTCAATCAACCCGACCCCAGCTAGGGGGGCGATCTAGCTAGCATGCAGAAGAGCCCTGTGGGCCCCACTAGTGTGGGTGGCAGGCAAGGATAGAGGGGGGCTAAAAGAGGATCAACCACCTTTAATTACTTATCATAGAAAATAAAAATTGGGAGGGAATTAGTAAGGTTTATTTAGGAAAAGAATGTTGATTTGAATTTAGATTTGGGAGAAAATTAGAATGATTTATTTAGGGAAAGAGAGCTGATTTGAATTCAAAATTGAGTGGGGATTAGGAAGGTTTATTTAGGATTAATTATGCTATTTTATATTCATAATGTGATTTTGTGTTTTGCAATAATTTTCTTTGGAGTTGTTCCTAACGGCGCCTAGGGTTTCTGGACAGTCGATCTAACCCTCGAATAGTAGATTAACTTATATCTTGGTTTGTTGTGCCGTTACCAATAAATTAGCCCATAATCTCATTTTTTCACGCTGATTTCTATAGTGTTTTCTCTTTGTCATTGTTGTTTTTTTTACTGTGGGGATCAGATTACTATAAAAAACATGGTCCTTTTATTCATCCAAACAACATGCACCTATTTAATGGCAATTTATGCTATCACAAAGCAGTTAAAAGTGAAAAAAAAAGAGCATAACTCGTATTATTTTGTTCCCATAATTACAATCAATACTAACCTTTCAATGAAAAAACGAGTGGAGAAAACTACTTGCATGGTTGAAGCCATGTAACAGCTGAGAGACAAATATCATATCAATATAAATATAGAGATAGAAGTGAACACTTCTTCACCAGTCAAACTTAAGTTACCTATTTCCAAGATTAACAAGCCCAGTGTAGCCCGGCCCAAATAAGGGCTCCAGTTCTTGTCCACTTTCCTGGATTCTATTCCAGTCAAAATTCATATTCTGGTCGAGTTCCTTTTCTGCAGTTGTCATTTCAGTCTGCAAAAAAAGTGGAATTTGCCTTCATTCTTGATACGGATATTTATTCTTTTACATGAAAATGCTGCTGCACACTACTGACAAATAAGGCAAACGATCAAACAAATATTGGTTAAGTTTAACTAATTAGCCTGTCAAATGGGCCTGGCTTGATGCATATCATTAAAAAGAGAACAACAACAACAACATCAAGCCTTTATCCCACTACGTGGGGTCGGCAACATGAATCCTTTTTCTCCATTGTGTCCTATTAAAAGTCAAATTCTTGTTTAAATCTAATAAAGAAAGGTCATTCCTAATATTTTCTAACCAAGTCTTTTTAGGTCTACCCCTACCTTTCTTAACATAAGTCAAATCTAATACCTCTACTCTCCTAACCGGGTCATCGCAAGGCCGCCGTTTTATGTGACCAAAACCATCTAAGGCGACTTTCTCTAATCTTATCTTCTACTGGAGCTACTCCAACCTTTTCACGTATATGCTCATTTCGTATCCTATCTCTAAGGGTAAAGCCACTCATCCACCTGAGCATCCTCATCTCTGCCACACTTAACTTGAATGTTAAATATTTCCATAAGCATAAATATATTAAAACAAGGACTAAACGCAAAATACGAATCTATGCATGCACTGATGCACATGAAAAGCAAAACAGAGTCAATGTCAGGAATTTTATCTACTACTCGAATTTGAATTCCATGATTGCTTAACAGTTAGCAATGATCACCAAGTGACATTCCAATATCTGATATCTTGACCAACATTTAAATTTATTCACAAAAATTATAAAAAAAGGAAAATTGCAAAGAGGATCACACAACCAAAATCAAATTTTACAACTGATCCATAATCCCTGCTAAACATTTATCACAGATGGAACAACATGTGCTATGATAAACAATAAAAGCATAAGGAACTATCATGCTATCAAACAATAGAGGAATGTTAAATATTTCCATAAGCATAAATATATTAAAACAAGGACTAAACGCAAAATACGAATCTATGCATGCACTGATGCACATGAAAAGCAAAACAGAGTCAATGTCAGGAATTTTATCTACTACTCGAATTTGAACTCCATGATTGCTTAACAGTTAGCAATGATCACCAAGTGACATTCCAATATCTGATATCTTGACCAACATTTAAATTTATTCACAAAAATTATAAAAAAAAGGAAAATTGCAAAGAGGATCACACAACCAAAATCAAATTTTACAACTGATCCTTAATCCCTGCTAAACATTTATCACAGATGGAACAACATGTGCTATGATAAACAATAAAAGCATAAGGAACTATCATGCTATCAAACAATCTGAGGAATTCAAGTTTCTGGTAACTTTCTGCACATGAAAATAAATGTGATACACCCTAAAGACCTATAGATCAAGGCTTCATTCGGTAATATGGATTTTTCAAAAAAAAAAAAACAAAGTGTTTACTAGAATTACATTATCGTGGGGAAATGAAAATCTTGCCTCAAACCAGTACCGATATGTTTTTTCAAACATGGAGAACACATGGAATAACACATCCATCTCTATGAGAATAGTGGCAATATTATCATGAAGTACAACACATCATCATCAAATAAAGACCAAGACATCTATACAGCTACTTGAACATTCAACCAGCATCTATACATACATCGTTCGTCATTCTTAGTATCTAATTTATTATATAAATCATTAAAAGTTAAATTCTTTGCATCGCATATTGCTTTCTTAGACTCCTTACAAGCCACTTTATATATTTCGTCATATTTTTATCTTTTACATCTAAATCAATTTTTATAACAAAACTTCTAATTTTTTTATCTTTTCTTGCACATTTTGACTCTACCACTAACAATTTTTACTATTAGTCTATTATGAGCTTTTCTTTTTTATAATTCAAGAACATTTTTTGCAACATTTTTAATATCACTAGCTATTTTTCTCACATAACATTAGCATTCTCATGTACAGTCAAAATATTAAGACCTTGAATCTCACTCTCCAAAAATATTTTTATTAGTGCTCTTTAAATGCCCCCATCTAACCCTAGGAAAAAATTTACTTTATTTTCATATTATGTCACTTCATCTTAAAGTCTAAAATAAATAAGCAATTTGAGTACAAAAACTTCCACTAGGGATAAATTTACATTCTTGGCAATATAAACGATCTATTTTTTTCATAAGAAAATAAGCAATCTGAATTTTACAATATCTATTCTTATAAATAATGATATGCTCCTCTTTTTCTTAAATAAGATATTAGCAATTACAAAATAATAAGCTAGAATAAAATCTAATATCATCCTATCATCTTCATTTGTCACTCCAAAATGCTCTTAAAATCTTCTACCACTGTACCAACATGTTCATTTAAATCTCTTCCAATAAAAACCTTTTTTTCATAGGTATCTTTTCTATTAATTTTTGTTAAGTCATTCGAAAATTTAAATTTTGAACACATATTCAAACCTACTTGAGGAGCAAAAGCACTAATAATAATCATAATCTTAGCATCAACAGGAATTTTTAAATTATAATTTTATCTTCAATTCTATTCATTTCTATAACATTATCCTTCAAACTCTTATTTAAAATCGCGCATACATCATTTCTAGTACAACTCCTACCTGAATATCATAATTTAAATCCTAAACTATCCAATCTGTCTTCTCTCGAACCCTTTTAGTTTAATGAATGCATAGAAGATTTATATCCTTATGAATCATAACATCTATCAATTCAATTAATTTATTTGTAAGAGAACCTATATTCCAATTTATTATCATAGTTCTAGTTTTATGGACTAGCTTATTTGCTCACATCCGTCCATGATGTGGGAATCCTTGCTAATTTAACACTACACCTGAGAGTTGATGAAGTGACCCTACAAACTTCTCGTTGTATTCAAGTCATGCAGTGTGTCGCTTCCAGAGAACGTCCTAACATTAACACAATACATTAAAGGATTCATGCCATAATTATTATTTTATGGTGGTTATCAACTACTGAACGCAACATTCTACTTTCTCGTCCAGGACTTGGGACCTGATAACGATAGTTTTTCTTGGCACACTTTATAGTGCATATAAAACTATCAGAACTAATATTTTTTAGAAACATATAACTACATATGCTAGAGAAAAAAAAATTTGGAGAAGTAGGAAATCAATACTTTTTCAGGAGCATATGAATAAATATGCTACAGAAATAGTTTTAGTACAATTTTTGTTTTCCTAATGTAGGAGTGATTAGTACAATTTTTTGTTTTGGTAATGTAGGAGTGAAAGTACTATTACTTTTATAAAACTCATAAAAAAGTTTACGAGCAAAGAAAATATGGAAGGCAGGTTGCCAAGCATTGTAGCCATGCATGGCAGAAACTTAAAGTATCGTAAAACATAGAATTTGGCACCTGCTTTTTCCAGATCTGCTGATAAAGTTCCTAATTTTACAGCGAGAGGATAATTTTTCTCTAGGTAATGTTCAATGGCATGATTATTTCCTCCACTGCCATCCCAATTTTTTCTGCCACAAAGAATTACACCATCGGTCAAATTGAGCCAAAGGTTATCAGTCTTCTCACACATGGAACATTTCCAACCCGAAGGAGGTATGATAACACCGTTATTTATCTGTTCCAAATTCATGGCATAATCACTGGTTTTCTTCTTCTCAGATGTCCACGATGCTAATTGCTCTTTCCGCTCTGCTCCCTCAAAAAGTAAAACAGCATTAACAGATAGCCTAACCTGCAAAATGTCTATAGCATGATCAAGAAGCTCTCAATCATAAAGAGAGCGCTAGTGTCAATGTGAAGCATACCTTTTCTGGCAGCTCAACCGATGGGAATGATAGAGCAATGTAATCGGGTAATATCACAATATGGTAAATTTCCTCGTATTCAGGTTCTTGATTGTCGAAACCTCCTTCAACACCTGCTAGTCATCCATAATTGAAAAATATTTTACTTCTACTCTTGCCTTGAAATAAAGCAAGTAACAAAACTCTTGACAAACAATTCTAAGAACTGAAAGCCTTAAATAACAGAAGAGAAGTGCCAAATCATGCCAAAATACCAAACAGCCAATCTATTCCAACACTCAAAGATCAACCCAAGTATATCATTAAGAGTTCATGAGGGATTCATGACGCATGTATTTACATAATAATCCTAGCCAAAATAACCTGGTGAAAAATGTTCCTTGGGTATCAGTACCAACTACAGCCAATCAAGGACTTACAAGCTACTCTTAGGTTGTGCATACTGAAACAAGGTTAAATGCGTGTATATCCGAGTTTAAAGTAATAAAGAGTTGTCAGACCATGCTAACATGCCAGTAAAGTAACTGCATCACATGGCAAAAAATAACAATTGCCATGATCAGGGTATGCCTACACAAGCACTGCATTAAGTACCAATTTATAATGTCAAAAAGCCACCTAGAAGTACAGCAAAAAAAATTCAGACCATTTAAGTTCATCTAAAAACTAAAAATTAATCACAACCTTTCATCCTCTGCTGATGCAAATGCGGATGCGAGCAAAGCAAGGGCACTGCTATTCTTTATTCAATCCAAAGAAGTGGGGCACACCGGAGAATGCACAAGTGGAGAATCTGGACCTTAATGGCGTGATCAGTTATTATGATTTCAAAACCAATCTTTTGGGAAATTAAAACTATATAATTAAGGAAGCCTTTGGTTATTCCTTGTAGATTGTGAAGCACTTTGAGGTTTCAGCACTTTGTTTGAACATAACGATGCTGCCAGTGTTTTGTTTGCATATTGTTGTATTCAGAGGATTGCAGAGGGAAAAAGCTTAAAACTTTATTCAACATGATCCCTATTTATAGACTATACAAGATGCTTAAATAAAGAAACAAATAACTACAGAATAAAGAGAAATATAAGCATTCCTAATTCTACTGTCTAATTAAGTAAGGCATTCAACATGAGGAGAGATTCCCATGGATCGTAATTTCCAGCCGTGGGATTAATCCGGGATTGAGAGATTTGGATTTACACTCCCTCTCAAGATGAAGAATATAGAACTGTGATTCCAAGCTTGGCAATCATTCTGATAAAGGCAGAGCTGTCCAATCCTTTGGTAAGGATATTTACAAGTTGATCTTTTGATGGTATATGGTTGATATATACTAGACCACTGTGTAATTTTTTTTAAATAAAATTTATGTCCACTTTTATGTGCTTTGTCTTGTCATATTGGACTAGATTGTGAGTTATGTTGATTGCTGATTTGTTGTCACAATGCAACTTTATGGGTTCGTCCCACTTGATCCTTAGATCTTTTAGAATCATCTTGATCCATATACATCACATATTCCCAAGGTCATAGCCCTATCTTCTACTTCTGCACTAGATCTTGACACCACATTGTGTTTCTTACTTCACCATGTAACTAGGTTTTCTCCAAGGAATGTGCAGTACCCAGAAGTAGATATTTTGTCTACTAGTGATCCTGCATAATCAGCATTAGTCTATACCTCTAGAGTTATTATGTGATCTCTTTTAAAGAGAGTTTATTTCCCTGGGTTACCCTTAAGATAGTGCAATATTATGTCTATTGCCTGCATATGCATCTATTTCGAATTTTTCATAAACTGACTGACCATACTGATAGCAAATGATATATCTGGTCTCGTGTAGGAAAGGTAGATCAATTTTCCCACAAGTCTCTGATAAGCCCCTTTATATACGTCTAGATCTTCTTTTGCTTCTCCCAATTTGAGATTTGGTTCTACTGATATTGATGCTAGAATACATGCTAGTCTTCCTATTTCTTTCAGAAGATCTTTAATGTATATTTGTTGTGAGATGAATATTCATTTGTTGGAATTGAGGAATGAGCTACTTCAATTCCAAGAAAGTATTTTAGTCTATCAAGTTCTTTGATAAGATTTTTCATTAGACTTTCTTTCTCCTTTTCATCATCCCAGTCAAGATGATATCATCCACATAGACTAATAGTATTGAGACTTCTCCTGAGTCTGTGCGTTTAAAGAAGAGTGTATGGTCCCCTTGACTATGTCAATACCCGTTAAGAAGCATAGAATCTTCCAAAACAGGTCCTAGGTGATTGTTTTAGCCCATATAGGGCTTTTCTCAACCTGCATACTTTGTCACCTCCAGATTTTTCCTTAAATCCTGTACCTCTATAAATATCTCTTCCTACATATCCCCATGTAGAAATGCATTTTTTACATCTAGTTGTTCCAGGTGCCAGTTGTACCTAGCTGCTATTGAAAGTAAGATCCAGACAATGTTCATCTTGGCTACAAGTGCAAAGGTTTCCTGGTAGTCAATGCCATATGTTTGAGTATACCCTCTCTCCACTAGTTTTGCTTTGTACATTTCCAGTGTATAGTCAGCTTTGTATTTTACAGAGAACAACCATTTGCACCCGACTGGTTTTTTTCCTTCCGGAAGTTTGATGATTTCCCATGTATTTTTTTCTCTAGGGCCTGCATTTCATCTCTAATGGCATTTTTTCAATTTTCATCAGATAATGCCTCATAAACATAATTAGGAATATGAATTTCTTGTAGTGTAACCATGAAGTTTTTATGTGATGATGAAAAGTTATTGAAGGAAATAGAGTTAGCTAAGGGATACAAGGGAGGTGGTGAATTTGCACTTACCTAAATTCCAGGAGATGGTTCAGATTATTGGATCAGCTTCGGAGCACAGTTTGAACTTGTATGCCTGGAATATACGTTCCCAAATCTATTGACAGCTTTATCTTCAGGTTCCCTATTTTTAGGAGGTATGGTTTGAGGTGGAAGGTCAAGAGAGGCAAGCTCACTTTCCTCGTCTTCTTCTATTCAATCTCCCCCTGAAAATGAGTTTTGGTAGAATAAGAATATTGTTCATCAAAGGTTCTTTTTGTGGGGGGATGATATCATTTGTACCCTTTTGGGTGGCAGAATATCCAATAAAGATGTATTTGAGTGCTCTTGGATCAAGTTTTCCTCTATTTTGGCTGTAAATGTGAACATAGGTAGTGCACCCAAAGATTCAGGGGAGTAAGGTTATTATGAATTCGAAACTCTGGGTAAAAGGAGGACAAATTTTTCATTGGAGTTTTTAGTCCCACCACTGTTGAAGGTAGTAGGTTTATGAGATACGTTGCAGTTATGAGGGCTTCCCACCAATAGTATTTGGGTCTATTGTAGTGGAATAAGAAAGCACGGATGGAAGCAAGAAGGTGATCATTGTTCCTCTCCGCAACCCTATTTTGTTGAGGGGGGTGAACGCAGGAGGACTCATGAATGATGCATTCACTTGGGAAGAAGACAGGGCTTGGTTAAAATAATCTTTAACATTGTCAGAGCAAAATTTCCTTATTTTTACCCTGAATTGATTTTGGATCGTGGTGTGAAAAATGGGAATGGTGCTAACATCGGATTTATTTTTTAGAAGATAGATCCAAGAGACTCGAGTGAATCATACAAGAATGATACAAAATAGCGTGCCCCAAAGATAATGGGATTTTTTTAGGGTCCCCATATATCACTATGAATAAGATAGAAAGGCGTGTCACATCTCACATTTTTATTTGGGAAATACATTCTTTTATGTTTGGCTAACTCACAAGTTTCACAATAAAAATATTTATTTTTTAATGTATGAAAAAGTTTTGGATACGCATGTTTTAGGATATCGAAAGAGCGATGTCCTAATCTATAATAATGAAGCCATATAATGGATCTCTTATCAACTAGGGATAATATAGAGTAGCTATTTTTAGATTTGTCAGTTCTTTCAGGTATTACATTCCAGCTCTCTCTTTAGCAAGCTCAATCTTCTTCCCCGATCTCTGGTCCTGAAATAAGCAATAAGCAAGGTTAAATATAGCTTGACAATTAAGTTCATTGGTAAGTTTTTTTTATTTATATGAGGTTTGTGGATAATTGTGATACGTGGAGCACATTTTTAAGGTGAGGGAGAGAGATAAGATTATGTCTCATTAGCTCGCTACTGTGGTAAGAGAACCATCAGCAGTGATGATTTTCTTGTCACTTGGGGAAGGAGTATAGTTGATGAAGTGGGTAGGCGAGTGGGTCATCTGATCTGTGGCTCCTGAATCAATGATTCATAATTCTTTTAAATGATTTCTAGAGGTACTTAAACTAATGGAAATAGGAAACTTACCTTACAGTGCAAGAGAGGGAGATGCATTTGATTTTTGAAGAGATATAAGGAGTTTTTTAGTTTTCAATACATTCTTTATTGAATTCTTTGAAACTAGATTGTGTTTCTGGGTTGAGCTGACTTATTGTATTGTGGCATGTGATGTACTTCTTGTTTCACCTTTTTGATGTCACTCCTTATTGGGGGGTTTATCATGTATTTTCCAACACGTCTCCTTTGTGTGTCTCGACTTCTTGCAATAACAACACCAAAGTAAGACAGACTTTATATTTTGAGGAGACTTTACATTTTTCCTTCCATGGAGCTTCTTTGGCCATCATTGTTGAGCTCTCAACAGCTTTTGGTTCTAGCATTACACTTCATTGGCTTTCTTTAGCATAGATGAGAGCACTTGTTTCATTTAGTGATGGCGTTTCCTCTTTGTCGAAGATCTCGACTCTGACTGGATCAAATTTTGCATTTAATCCTGCAAGAAAATCATAAAATCTATCTTTTTCAATAAAGTTCTTTAGGATCGCAGCATCTTTTAGACATCTGATTTCTATGCATCTGTAGTGATCAAGTTCTTGTCATAGGTTTTTTAGAAGGTACCATACTCTGTCACGGTCTTGCTTCCTTATTTTGTACTCCCTAATTTAATTTTGATTTCAAAGATTTGAGCAGCATCCCAATCTTTTGAGAAAGTATGTCCGGCGGCATCCCATATATCATTTGCAGTGGAGAAGAACATAAATGTATCGCTAATTTTTGGAGTCAAGGAATTC